TAAATATAGCATACCCTAAAACTATATTTTTTCACGCACACACACACACACACACACACACACACACACACACACACACAAACATATATATATATATATAAATGTAAAAGACAATAGGAAAACTGTAATAGTTGCCGACGCGTTTCGTCCGACGTGGACTTTTTCAAGGCGAAACGAAATGAATTTATTAAATAAAGTAACTAATAATAACAAAAACAAAATGTCCTTAGCAACTGGAAGAATTTAGAGAACGCTATTTTCATATTGTTAACTGAAAATTACGTCAAGTACTGTCACATGTGGAGATATTGTTTTTATTGCTGTGTTGACGGATTCAACTATTTTCTTTTGATTTCTCTAGGTTTGTTTGGGAGAGTAAGAATTCTGTTAAGAAAGGTGAAATAGGGAAAAAGCCTGGGTGTAGATTAATATTTGGATAATATTCAATGGCGGCACTCTCGAGGATTTTCCTTCTGAGTCAGTTATTTTCTGTTTCTATGAGTGTAGCATTTTTAAAATCAATATTCTGGTTGAATTTATTTTATTTATTTCTATTTATTTCTTATTTTTCTACAGGTTAACCCTGGGAATTTGTTCATATATATATATATATATATATATATATATATATAGGGGTGTATCAAAAAGTAGTTTTACAAACTTTTGGACAGATTCCTCGCACCAAACCAAGGACAAAAATCCATATAAACATGTCCGCAAATCCTTCGTTTTTGAGTCATTAAGTTCAAAGAAAGGTTGAGGCAGAATACAGGAACCCGTCCATGATGTTTGTAAAAGAATTTGGGGATTCTATCTTGGATTGTACATTTAACACCGTCTCCGTCAAATTTAAACATAATAAATTTTTGATATATAATTATATATATATATATATATATATATATATATATATATATATATATATATATATATATATATATATATATGTAGCCGTTCACTCGTATTCGAGGATACCCATCTACTAGAACGGCTTGCTAACCCCTATTGTAGACGCTTCCACAGGCGCATTTGTGTTTATTCAACACCCACAGAACCCAGTAGTGGTTTATACTGCAACAATGCTGAGTAGACCTTGGTTGCAGTGTCTGGGAAAGAGCGTGATATACACACACACACACACACACACACATATATATATATATATATATATATATATATATATATATATATAAAGATAAAATGTCTTGAAAATAATGGAAGAAAATCATGGAGAATTGTATTTAAAAACAGGAAAATCGACCTTGCTAACTGAACGCTCCTCTGTTAAAGGCATATATATATATATATATATATATATATATATATATATATATATATATATATATAGTTTATGCAAATTTAGGTAATCCGTATGGGTAGACCTGAGGAGGATGATATCCAGAGAGCTCAATGTAAGATTCAGAGCATATATGTTTGAATAAAAGACAGACCACGTTAAGATTCCATGTAATAAGCTCTTTCACCATAACCCCTTTAACAGGGTTCTGGATCATCAGACTTTACTTCCAAAAGCTGAAATGAAAAATGAAAAGAAATTCACACGTTTTTTACGGACCTCATCAAGTGTACGCAAAGTTAACGAAGTGAGGATGTGAGGTGGGAGAGAGGATATGAGTGTGTCATATGTATCATTTTAGTTTCCTATTTTTAACCCCAGTGTGTCGGCTGGATGTTGTTCAAATTTAACGCGTCTCGTCTCTAGATAAAGGTGGCTAAGGGGTGAACGATAAGAACTACATTAAAGGAAGACGTTACAACAACCCCAATAAATTATACGACAGGTTTCATTCAGGTTACAGTAATGCCTGAAATTACATTAGTTATTTTAGCTATACTTAAAACTAGGTACATTAAACTTTATAACATTTTTACAGATTATTTCTATCGCAAATACAAATAAAGTTATATACATATAAAGTTACATTCATATTATATACATATATATATATAAGTTACATATATTGTATATATATATATATATATATATATATATATATATATATATATATATATATATATACTAGTAATAATCTGATAAGTATAAGAAATTATACTCGTCCGAAAATCTTCGGTGTCTTGATTTGCGAATAATCAAACCAATACCAAAGGGAAAAAGGTATAAAAAAGAAAGAACCAAGAACATGTACGTTAGCCAGCCAGCCTTCCCTGACGATCCGCTTAGGTGAAACCTTGGTAGGTTTGTCTGGCTCTCTAGGGTTTATATATATATATATATATATATATATATATATATATATATATATATATATATATATATAATATCTGGGGTACACAACATTTTACCGTCCATGATAAAAAAAAAGCAGCCCACTGGTTTCGCCCTCAATCAACAGAGCTGGAATCGAGGGAATAATTATCACAATATTAAATATAAAAGATATATAATGTGCACATTTTAAGCCTGATCAACTCCCAAAAATTGCAACTAGATAATCACACAACATAATTTTTTTTTTTTTGGTAGCCATCTTCGTCGGACGGGAATTTTTCAACACTCTTTGATTTGGATGTATCTATAAACACTTGCAAATTGATTTTTATGTTTACCTGTCATTGATATTCGATTGTTTTCCATTGCTGAGTCCTGCGTATAAAAGAATTTTTTCCAAAAAAGTGGCAATCCAAAAGCGAGACAGACGACACAGAGATTACACAACTTTGACTATATCCTCAAGCGATTCAATGTCTATTTGTTAACGTTTGAATTAAAACAGACACATTTAATGCTGTTTATGATTAATTAAGAGAATTTCTTCTTTTTATTTATTCATATTTATAGATATATATATATATTTTTTTACAGATGAGGTCAGTCATCAGAATAGAGTCCTTCCTGTTAGTCACCTGGATAATATGCATAACATGTGCCATGAAGTTGGACAGAGTTGACTTTAAGAGATTGTTCGCCAAAAGAGACCCTTCCTGCCAAGGTAGGTGGCCCCCCATGCGTTTCTTTTGTAACCATTACGCGAGTCGGTGGAGGGTTGCCGACGGCTCGGCGTCTATTTGCAGTCGAAGAACGGTTTGATGGCCGACACTGTTGTTGATTGACCGCTGGCATTTTTGATCGATGTTCAAGTAGAGTTAAAACGACCATGAACCCTGACGCACTATAATCTTCCTTCGGTAACGGTTAACTTAGGACCAGAGTAAAAAAAAAAAAAAAAGGCCTGTCTAAAGAATGATGTTGAATTGAATCCACACACACACACACACACACACACTCATATACATATATATATATATATATATATATATATATATATATATATATTATGTATATTTAGGCAGCAATTTTTCATTGATGCATGTTTCATTAAATAATATAGACAAGTTTTGTCTATTTATTTTAAGTAAGTTCCTTTCATATTGTCTGTTGCTTAATAACATTATCATTGAAAGACGAAAGGAAATCACCATATTGATACATGTTTAAATCCAATCTAAGCTTTCGGCTTACATAAGCCATTTTCAAAGATGACAATTACTTTTCAGTATCTCCAACGAATTAAACAATATTTATGTTGGTCACACCACAAACTCGCTTTCACGACGCTTCGCTCTACATTTGAATGAAAACTCTAACATTTTTAGGCATTTAAAACAACAATATTTGCACAATTCCGGGAAATCCTTGTTGAAAACACAACTATACTTAAACATGAAAACAATAAGCAAAAACTATATTTATATATATTATTTAATGAAACATACATCAATATATATATATATATATATATATATATATATTAATTGTCGGACATAGTGTAGGATACAGGTTCGATTTATATCGGAGAACACATATTTTCTTTGTGATTTCTCGAACATTCAGGTCAGTAAATGTTGTTAATACTGTTTATTATAAACAGAGCATTCCCTTCAATATTTGTGTCTATAAAAATAAGGTATAAACAAAATATATATATATACTATCTTTAGGTCGGCATTTAAGCTAGCGCCTTCGGAGGGCTCTTCATCAGGCGTTTGGCTTGTTCAGGAGTTTGAGTGTCCCTAAGACTTTCCATATTTTCAGCATTGGAAGCTCTTCTGGCTGCCGTCTGATCTGGGTTTTCATTTGCGCGGGACTTTCTTTTCCTCACTGCAGCCTTGGCTTTTTTGATTGCAATCTGATCCTCTGTTGGCAGAGATTTCGTTTTTGCAAGGCATACTGCTGCCCTATACGATAGGAAACAATAAACTACAGAAGAACTCAAAATTGATCGCTGCATTTAAATATTGCATTAATATGTAAGCCTACCTTAAATCTGTTGTAACACAAAAAGAAAAGGCGTTAGTCTTTTACTGATCCTAGTGATACCATTTAGAAGGAAGAGGAATATATCGACGATCAGACTGGAAATACTAAGAGAGTTTTTCATCTGGGTACGTTTTGTGTTCTTCTGCTATTAAATCTGCTGCGATTAAAAAAGAGAGACATACTACCGGGCGGTATTTAAGCTAGATCCTGTCGAGGGATCTTGATTTGGCCTTCGGAGATTGAGAGTCCCTAAGTCTTTGGATATTCTCGGCATTAGAAGCTCTCCTGGCTGCTATTTGATCTGAGTTTTCATTTGCTCGGGACTTTCTTTTCCTCGCTACAGCTTTGGCTCTTTTGATTGCAATCTGGTCCTTTGTTGGCGGAGATTTCTTTCTTGCGAGCCCTACTGCTGCCGTATGCAATAGGCAACAATAAACTACAGAAGAACTCAAAATTGATCGCTGCATTTAAATATTGCATTAATATTTAAGCTTACATTTTAAAAGTTCAGCGATGATTCTTCTGCCGCCAATTAATTTAAAGACGATTTGACGTACACATTAATGAGAATAAGAGAGAGAGAGATGCAGAGAGATACATAGAGATATAAAGTTAGAGAGAGAAAGAGAGATTAAGTTAGAGAGAAAGAGAGGTACAGAGAGAGATAAAGTTAGAGAAAAAGAGAGACGGAGAGATAAAGTTACAGGGAGAGAGAGGGAAAGTGGTAGAGAAAGATTATAATGTTTGAGAGAAAGAGAGATATGAATTTAAAAAGAGAAAGAGGGAATGATAAAAAGATACAGAGATATACAAAGTTAGAAAGAGAGAGAGATGCAATATCATATAAAGTTAGAGAGAGAGAAAGAGATATAGAGAGCTATAAAGTCAAATAGAGAGAGATGCAATGTCATATAAAGTTAAAGAGAGAGAGAGAGAGCTATAAAGTCAAATAGAGAGAGATGCAATGTTATATAAAGTTAAAGAGAGAGAGAGCTATAAAGTCAAATAGAGAGAGATGCAATGTTATATAAAGTTAAAGAGAGAGAGATAGAGAGAGCTATAGTCAAATAGAGAGAGATGCAATGACATATAAAGTTAAGGAGAGAGATATATAGATATCTATAAAGGGAGAAAGAGAGTGAGAGAGATAAGAGAGAGAGGTTGTGTGCAGTTATAGGCAAGAGAGCGTTATGTATGCAGATCGATGAAAATCACAGTGTTTCAACGCTAATGTCACCTTACAACGTGCGCCGAAAACTTCTCTTCGCCATTTCTTCTTCTTCCGTCGCCTGTCGCCTTCTACTCGTTGGGCCTATCGATTCATTAATATCTGTGTCTGAATGTCAAATATTGTAAAAAGGAAAAATCGTTTTTGAAAATCAAATAACAGTACTGGAACGAGATACAAATGGGGATGTTTTGTGCATTTTCATATCTAAGGAGTTAGTAGATAGATAGATAGATAGATAGATAGATAGATAGATAGATAGATAGATAGATACGAACAGACTGAGATAGATAGATAGATAGATAGATAGATAGATAGATAGATAGATAGATAGATAGATAGATATGAACAGAATGAAATAGATAATGAACTTTGAGGATAGATGGATATGAACATACGGCAACACACAGATATGAATAGATAGATAGATAGATAGATAGATAGATAGATAGATAGATAGATAGATAGATATGAACATACAAGAACGTACACATATGAACAAATAGATATAGAGATAAATAGGTAGATAGAAACAGCTGCAGATATATATAGAGAGATAAGAACGTATAGACAGACAAACAGATAGATAGGTAGATAGATAGCTAGATAGCTAGCTAGCTAGATAGATAGATAGATCATACCGAGATGACTGAATGTGCCCGCAGTTTTATAGATGGTTATGCATATATATATATATATATATATTACGCAGTTTTTTAGATGGTTATGCACATATATATATATATATATATATATATATATTACTTCTGTAGTGAGATCGATTTAAAAAAGAAAGAAAGAAACGAACACACACAGAAAGAAAAAGGACAGTGAAGCAAAAAATAGGAAAGAAAGAAAAAAGCGAATTAGAAAAAAGCAAAAGATAGATAGATAGATAGATAGATAAACAGACGGAAATAGATTTCTAAGAACAAATAGATAGAGAGACAGATCGAGTGAGAGAGATAGAGAGAGTTAATGAATCATTATTTTTCCACACATTTTTTTATTACGGTCAAAATAAAACAGGGATACGTTGTGATCCCATAAAATAATCATATCAAAGCTAAAAAGAAAAGAGATGTTTATTTAAAACTGCGTATACCTCAAGTCTAAAACCACTTTTCTTTCTTTCTTTGATTCCGTTGGGGGTGAATTTCGAAAGAAAAAAAAAAGAATTTGAAAAATAGAGACATATGGAGAGAGAGAGCGGGAGGCGGGGGAGGGGGGGAGAAAAGAGAGAAAGGAAAAAAGAGAAAGAAAGAAAAGTGGCGGGGATTATGGACGTGAATGTAAGTGGCGGAAGCGGAAGTGGTGGTGGTGGTGTGTGGTGGCTGTGTCGGAGGGGAGAGGAAAGCTCACTTACGTTTGCGTGAAAATGCAATATTAAATTAGATGGAGGCAATATTGAATTCGTTTGAACGCCAGTGCACATGACGCACCTGTCTCTTCCTAGACTTCTTTAACTGAGAAAATTGGAAAAAAAAAAAAAAAAGGAAGCGAAGAATGGTAAATGATAAACTCTTCTGTCAATAAAGTTTCAATGAAACCATTTCAAGAGGTTTTCCTTTTCGGTATCGTAACCGCTTCACAGCCATTATTATTTTTTTTTCTTATTTCCTTTGATTTCTGGTTTATATTCATTTCTATCCGGGTCCCAACCAGCGACCTAAGACCAGAAATGGCATCATGTCATTTCCCAGTGAGCTATTTTGAAAAAAAAATAGAAATAGAAATCACACATATACATTTATTATTATTATTATTATTATTATTATTATTATTATTATTATTGCCTTTGATTTCTCTTGTATACTCATTTCCTTCCGGGTCTCAACCAGAGACCCAATATCAAAAATAGCATCATAATATTTCCCAATGAGCAATTTTTAAAAAATAAATAAATAAAAATCACGCACATACATTTATTATTATTATTATTATTATTATTATTATTATTATTATTATTATTATTATTGTTGTTGTTGTTGTTGTTGTTGTTGTTGCCTTTGATTTTTCTTGCATACTCATTTCCTTCCGGGTCCCAACCAGAGACGTAAGATGGCATCATAACATTTCCTAATGAGCAAATTTAGAAAAAAATAAATAAATAGAAATCACACATATCCAATTATTATTATTATTATTATTATTACTATTTCCTTGGGTTTCTGTTGTATATACATTTCCTTCCGGGACCCAACTAGAGACCTAAGCTCAGAAATGGCTTCAGAACATTTTCCACTGATTCTCAATTTTTGGTATTTCTTTAAGGCATGGGCTTCCAGGAATCCCTTCAATGAGTCTGTTGGAATTTTTTACAATCAACTATAACTGGAATTATTGATGTCCTCATGTAGCACATTTTTGAGATTTCCACTTCAAAATCATTGTATTTTATTATTATTATTATTATTATTATTATTTGTGTATGTTATGTTTTCTGCTTTGTATCCTGTAGAGCCGGGTCCTAACTATAGTCCTTAGGCCCTGTAGGAGAATTGTTATTCAATTGATGGCACTTTTCTTAGTAGATGGGATGTTCCTAGTAGAGCGATCTTCTGGGCAACTTGTCTGTTGATGTTACCTGGGACAGTGTTAGTAAAATTGTCCATTCCTTTTCTCACAAAGCCCAGAGCTCCGATTACTATTGGTATAGTCTCAGTCTTCATTCCCCACATCCTGTTAATCTCGATCTCCAGGTCCTTGTATTTGGACAATGTCTCGATAATTTTCATGGAGGTGTTTCAGATGTCACTGCTATGTCAATAAGTATACACTTCCTGAATTTCTTGTTTTTTTTATGATAATATCAGGTCTTTTGGCTTTTAATTCCCTATCAGTTTGAGTTCGTATGTCCCAGAGGATAGTTACATCGTTATTTTGGGTAACAGTGTTTGTTTGGTGCTCATACCATCTCTCAGTGGTTTCGATTTGTGCTTCTTACATATCTTCCAGTGCACATATGTCGCTACCTTGTTATGTCTCTGGGTATATTTATTTTTTGATAGTTTCGAACATCCTGAGATATTATGGTCGACAGTTTCATCATATTTTCATATTATTATTATTATTATTATTATTATTATTATTATTATTATTATACGTGGTCTGAAAGATTTCCAATAGAGTGAAGAAAAAGATGAAAATAACTTAAAAGAGGAAGAAGGACAAGAGAAAAAAAAAACAGAAAACGACTCACGCCTAACCTTTTTATTTATTTTTTTTTATTTATTTTTTATTTTTATTTTTTTATTTATTTTCTTATTTTTTATTTTTATATTTATTTTTTATTTTATTTTTTTTTATTTATTTATTCTTTTACTTATTTTTTATTTATTCATTTTTTTTATTTTTATTTTATTTTTATTTTTATTTTTTTTTTTTTATTTTTTTTTTTTTGGTTCAGTTTTAGTCCTTAAACGTCGAATCGAAGCATTTATCTAAGATGACTTCCGGTTTTGACAAAGAACGGCCCGGATGTGAATTCTGCTTCTACTTGCCTTGCGTTTTAAAAACGGATCGAACTGAAGTGGCATTTCGCGGGGAAAAAAAAAACGCATGTCAGTGTCGAAGAAACTTACCGAGAGTGTGGGGGGGATGGGGTGCGCCTTTGTGCGCAGTTAGAATTCAAATAGGCTTGATAAAGTTCGAGCCTCATCCCCTAATGTTGCAACTAATGTGACAGGACGTCCAGACTGTGGGTCAACTTCAAGACTCTTCTTCCCTTCTTAATTCAGCTGCCCATTTTTGCTCGGGTGCTAAAGCTGGAGCGTTACCCCGCGATGCCAGCATGACTCTCCTTAGGGGTTAAACCCTTTTTTCTGCAGTGACTTGATAACCCCTCGATGCCAAATTTTGTCCATTTTCAAGTGGTCGCTACTACTTACCTTTGAAGTCTTCTCTGAAAAGTCAAATGTCAGTTTACCTGGAAAGAAACAACGCAGTTAATTATAAGAAGAGATGAAATGAATGCATGCAAAATTTCACAGCACTAGCATCACTCCTTCATAGTCAGCCTAGGGGCATTTCAGCCCTCTCTGGTACCTGGAAAGAAACGATGCAGTTATTAATAAGAAGAGTTGAAATGAATGCATGCGAGATTTCACTGTTCGAGCATCACTCTTTCATAGTCAGCCTAGGGGCATTTCAGCCCTCTCTGGTACCTGGAAAGAAACGATGCAGTTATTAGTAAGAGTTGAAATGAATGCATGCGAGATTTCACAGTTCGAGCATCAGTCCTTCATAGTCAGCCTAGGGGCATTTCAGCCCTCTCTTTTACCTGGAAAGAAACAATGCAGTTATTAATAAGAAGAGTTGAAATTAATGCATGCAAAATTTCACAGGTCTACCATCAATCCTTCATAGTCAATCTAGGGACATTTCAGCCCTCGCTCGTACCTGGAAAGAAACAATGCAGTTATTAATAAGAAGAGTTGAAATGAATGCATGCGAGATTTCACTGTTCCAGCATCACTCTTTCATAGTCAGCCTAGGGGCATTTCAGCCCTCTCTCGTACCTGGAAAGAAACAATGCAGTTATTAATAAGAAGAATTGAAATTAATGCATGCAAAATTTCACAGGTCTACCATCAATCCTTCATAGTCAGCCTAGGGACATTTCAGCCCTCTCTCGTACCTGGAAAGAAACAATGCAGTTATTAATAAGAAGAGTTGAAATTAATGCATGCGAGATTTCACTGTTCGAGCATCAGTCCTTCATAGTCAGCCTAGAGGCATTTCAGCCCCTCTCGTACCTGGAAAGAAACAATGCAGTTATTAATAAGAAGAATTGAAATTAATGCATGCAAAATTTCACAGGTCTACCATCAATCCTTCATAGTCAGCCTAGGTGCATTTCAGCCTCTCTTTTACCTGGAAAGAAACAATGCAGTTATTAATAAGAAGAATTGAAATTAATGCATGCAAAATTTCACAGGTCTACCATCAATCCTTCATAGTCAATCTAGGGACATTTCAGCCCTCTCTCGTACCTGGAAAGAAACAATGCAGTTATTAATAAGAAGAATTGAAATTAATGCATGCAAAATTTCACAGGTCTACCATCAATCCTTCATAGTCAGCCTAGGTGCATTTCAGCCCTCTCTTTACCTGGAAAGAAACAATGCAGTTATTAATAAGAAGAATTGAAATTAATGCATGCAAAATTTCACAGGTCTACCATCAATCCTTCATAGTCAATCTAGGGACATTTCAGCCCTCTCTCGTACCTGGAAAGAAACAATGCAGTTATTAATAAGAAGAATTGAAATTAATGCATGCAAAATTTCACAGGTCTACCATCAATCCTTCATAGTCAGCCTAGGGACATTTCAGCCCTCTCTCGTACCTGGAAAGAAACAATGCAGTTATTAATAAGAAGAGTTGAAATGAATGCATGCGAGATTTCACTGTTCGAGCATCAGTCCTTCATAGTCAGCCTAGAGGCATTTCAGCCCTCTCTCGTACCTGGAAAGA